TTAACAATTATACCACGAGCGCGCGTTGGATATGAGATGATAGAGTTGGCTATAATCATCTCATATCCAACAAGTTGGCTATAATCATCTCATATCCAACAAGCGCGAGTGGAATAATTGTTTTATTAAAAACGCCCCCAAGAAATTATTATTTTGTAAGAAGAAACTGGATTTTTTAGCTCCCTTTTGATTTTAAGCTGATGCGTACCCTTACCATATTTGTAGATTATGGTATATTGGCTGATATACCATAATGGCTAAGCCAATAAAAAGTCTTGAATTGCATTATCCAATGATCCAGTTTTTAATAATAATAAATACAGTATAACAAGTGGAATTTTTTAAGGAGCAGTTTGGGATTAATCATGTCAAGACATTCTGTAAATCATAATTTCAATAAAATTTTTATTTCCTTTTCAAGACACGTTAGAAAACACTAATTTAATATATAGACAAATTTTTCCTTATCAACTAAAAGGAAAAAAATGTGTTAAAAAATCTTCAGTGAATAAGACCAGAGTGAAGTGAAATTTTTCCTCCAAGGAAAGAAACAAATCAATAGCCTAGATGGCAGTTTTTGGAAGTAAAAAATTTTTTTTCACCTTAATACTTACCCAAAATATTTGTAGCCACAAAATGCTAAAAGATCAAGCCACTTGATCTCTGCCTGCACGTTACAGATGTACATGGAAAAGAGGATTGCCATAATTTCAACAAACAGCCACACAAGAGCAGAACTGGCTGTGATTCCCAGTTGTTCAGGAGTGAATCTGGCAAAAGAAAGATAAAGTTTTGATATGATCAAAGTATGCTGCTGCCATATTTCAAATCATTAAAGAAATGTTTACCTGTTTTGAGTTCCCATAACTAGCCCAGCAACAAGAATGTATGTAACAAATGCCATCACTACACAAAAAAAAAAAATAATGATAAAAAGCAAACAAAACAAAATTAGGGTTTCCAAAGTCCAACTCATTTCCAAAGTTTGATTTTCCATTAGCTATTTTTCTTGGTATTTTGTAGGGTACTCTTTTACCATGCATACATCTATTATTGAGATGATCAAGACAATACTATTAAAATTATCTCACTCTGGTCATAGATAATGTTTAGAGCTCACTTGTCTTAGATATATCTTCAGCTCTTGGAAAATGAGCACTCTGATTCACAACCCCTACATGCAGGGATCTCGCTAAGCACTGGCTGTCTGCGAATTTCTCTGGGTAAAAAAGGGGCAATTACCAGCTGGATTTTTCGCAGACGATTGCTTGTTCCTTCTTAAAATCATTCACCACCTTTGAACCACCTCACTTGCAATTTCAGCCCACAGCATAATTTCCTAGCTACAACCCTGCTACATGGGATCAGAAATAGTTTTTTAGGGTATAAAGACAATGAGAAAGCAATGACCTTAGTTTGGAATATGAAAAACGAAGCTGAGTTTTTAGTTGAAAGTGACTATGTTCCTTCAAAGGCTGAAAACATACCGGGAATGTAGAGATCAGGAGCATTCACTTCATATCTTGGTGCAACAGGTTCTGACTTGTTATACTGCACTGACCAATTCTGGGTAAAGAAACAGCCACAATGTGATCCACTAATTGGTAGTAACATTCTTTGATAGGTTACAGATTACTGTTTAGAATCAGTGCTGCTATGCTTTAGCAGAGCTTGGGTTCCACACTCTGGCAACCAAGTTTTGTCTTTGAGATATTTATAGAATATAGCATTTATCAAAAGCTTTAAAGAGCTGGGCACTTTAAGACAGGAGCCTTCCAGGTACAGCTTTGAATATTTCCAATGTGACTGCAATTCCAACTTACTTAGTTCCTTTTGCGATTGCACCTTAAGCTATGCAACCTCTATTTTCTCCAGTTACTCCTACAACTTCAGCCACATAACCTGATTCTCACTAACCAAACCCTGATCACCAGATATTCCCAAGAGAGGAGGATGCAATGCTACAGTATTATGTAAAAAATATAAAAAATTAACATCACGGATAGCTCAGTAAGAACCATGTCCACAAACCATTTCCTTACATACTTTGTGTGTGAAAGGGAAGATAAGAAGTCCCAGTTTTTTGACGACATACGTAGTATCCACAGCAAAGTAATACTTTAATTTTGATACTGAAACAAATCGGTCAATCTGATAAAAAAAAAAAGCATATTAATAGTTTATCATTAGTACATTCACATCTGACAGGTACAATGTGAAACAGAACATGTCTAATACATGTAGTTCTTACACAAATAATAAATTTGGATTAGGGTTTGTACCCTTTTTTAGAAACAAATTTCAAGGACTTTTCCACGACTTTTCAAGTTTCAGATTGATTTTCCCATGGCTCCAAACTTGACCTTTATCCTTTTCATTCCGAATATTTCAAAATCAATTCTCCACCTTGCAGTCTATACACATTTCTTATAATGTAAATTCTGAAAACTTTATTGCTTGATGTAAGCAAATTTCCATGACTATCCAGACCCTGTAGTCTTTTTCAGGACTTTCCAGTCCTGGAAAATGTCAAAATAAAATTCCAGGACTTTCCAGATTTTCCAGGACCTGTTTGAACCCTGTGGATAACAGTAGATGACCAGCAAATTGACTTTAACCCTTTCACTTCCAAGATGTTATTCGCATTTCTCCTAACAGTCTTCCATAAAATTCTCTGACAATGGTTCAGAGAATTTGGTATTATATCAATTAATAATCCCCTAATTGATAATTTTCTTTATTCTTGCCATTATTTCCCATTATTGTTATTTATTTATTTCCCCTAATAAGGGTTAATTCCTACCTATCACTGAATATCAGGTTAAATTTCTCTTTAATTTGAAATGCCCTTGAGAATCTTAAACCCACAGTACAACTATACCACTTATTTAGTATGGGAAATTCTGATGAAAAAATACACGATATCCATGGATGAAACCCTGGTCTAATGATTTTCATTCAAAAAGCTTATCTTCCTCTGAAATTATTTTAATTCAAATAAACTCTATCTAACAGCAACATTTATTCTTAAACTGGTAGTGACTTCAGATGACTAATGTTTTCAGACACAACTTACATGCTTTTCCACATATTCCTTTCCTTGATTAGCCATTGCTGCTCCATAACCAACTGCCACATTGGCCATGGGACCCTGCAGAAACTCATTTCCAGCAAACTGTCCCATCCCCCCTGGCATTCCTGGCATTCCCTGTTGTTGGTCTACACTTGTATCTTCAAACAGGGGGGTAGGACTGCTGTATCCTCTATATTGGCCCCCTCGATGTTGAGCTGAAGGCGAAAAAAAAGTACTACGAGTTATAGGGGCAATATTGCGGCACTTTGTATGTCTAATTTGCTGGTAAAAGGCAAAATTTGCAAAAACAAAACTAGTTTATTGATGTCTACCTGATGAAACATTTCTTTTCTGGACAGGCATTCTCTGGTTATACATATCAGAGTTCTCTGAAGGAGACAAGAACAACACAAAGTAGGCTTTAACAACACAGAATGGCGCTCAAATTAGTTGCCATTTTCATGTGTTAATTTCTCTGCTGGGTTCTTTTCAAGTGAAAACAGTACATTTCAATGGAGTAAATAGCTGTTACTATGTACAGCAAGTCACTGATGACAAAAAACGGTACATTGGATTTGCTATTTAGCTCAGATGCTTGATACATTTTCCCAGTTTTACATGATTGAAGTTAAGCTCACAACGTTTCATTCAAAATCCTGATGGTTATTCAATACTATTTATCATTAAATTGATTTATGAACGGTTCATTGGGTGTCCATGGGAAAGACAAAAGAAAGAAAAAAAAACTGAATTTGGCTCATGTCATACACCTCAGAAGAGACTGTGACAATGAGCTAAAAGTCACACACTTGCCTCATGTTGATAGCTCAGCAAATTCAGAAATAACCTTACAGAAAAGCTCTCTCACCTGTACTCTACTCAAGTAATAAAGTTACTGCAGCTATAAACTATCACTTCACCTTCAGATTTTAAATAATTTGATATGCTATTCTTATTTCTTACTATAAAATACTCCTTATCGCAAAAAGATTTCATCAATCAAGATTATTTTGCTAGGTTACTGCTAAATTGTGTCCCATATGGGTGGCACAGTGGCTTAATGGACAGTGCACTGGACTCTGCATTGAGAGGGCACTGGTTCGAGAACTGGCCAATTCAATGCATTGTGTTCTTGGGAAATACACTTTACTCTTTAGTGTCTCTCTTAAGGGCACACTTAATTTAGAGCATCGCTTGGTTGTATGTCCCACACCTTCATGGTGAAAGAGTAAATGAATAAATAAATAAACAGAGGTTATTGGTCTGTACACTCAAATCATTAGAATCTTTTATTTTTTTTAAAAATTTTGTTGTCTGTATTTCTAAACTTCCTCTTTCTGATATTGGGTGGTTATGCTGTAAAAATTATTCTTTATTTATATAATTATTTACATTATTATGTATTGATCATTTTATTTTAATATTATTTTGTATATATTTTAATAAATGAATTTATTTTAAGAAACAATGATAACCAAGATCTCTTTTACTTGGAGGTTAAAACACATGGGAAAGAAGAATGCTTCAGTTTTAATGTGTTAGTGACATTAAGCTGCTTAACAGACTAAGAAGTCAGAGATTTTTAAAGATTTACCAAGAACACCAGAAAAGCATGCAGCATGCAGAGTGTTAGCAAAGAGACATTTTACATCACAGATACCATCATAGGGTGAACGTCTGCGAGGAGAGGTTTGCGTTGGGTAAACGTTAGAGTCTAGAGAGAGAGAGAGAGAGGAGAGATGAAAATGTGAATAAAATCATTTTCAATGACTCTTTGTGAAGTACATCAATTAGTCTAAATTGTCTGTGTCTGCTGTAACGCGAGCAAGTCAGATAAAGAATGAAAATACCCCCATACAAAAAACTAGTTTATGTTCATGTGATCAATATCCAATGAACCTTCCGCGGCTTAGTTTCCATCCAAAGATAAAACTTATCAGTATACAAATTACACAGTTTGGGCAGCCGAGGTTTTATACCAAAACCGTTTTTTGCTTTACGATGATCTTAACACGTTTCAATTATGAAGGAGTAAATTCAAAATCGCACAATGTGTAACGTTCCAAGACAAAAATAATAATGGAGCACACATTCCAAACACAAAAACGAAATAAAACCGATGTAGCAGCACTACCATCTCGAGAACTCGATTGCGAAAAGAACACAATTTGGCACAACAATTTCCACATTTCCAAACGTCTTCAGGTTTTCAGTGTCCATTTTTACGATCGTAAATAAAAAATGAAACAAGTTGTACCTCCCATTGGTGGATCCATGACTGTGGAGTTGCTTTAAAAGAAGAACCTTTCCAATATAATGTTCTTAAGCAATTTTTTGCAAAATTCTTCGTAGTTATCACTTTCAGGGACAGAACGAAATTAGTGTTCTCGACGCTTGCGCATAACGTGGTAAAACGTGGCAGAGTTTGAAAGGAGGACTGGGGCGGAATCAAGGAAGACGCTCTTTCCCACTGGGTCGGTCTCTTCTACTTAGACGGTACCGTCCAACTTTTGACCGTTCCGTTTAAATGTAAACAGTTCTGTATAATTTCAAACAGTGCTGTCTGATTTTTTGCGGACGATCTATAATGGTTTTGTCTGATTTCGGTATGTTTCGCCTGATCCTGGAAAGTTCCGTCTGACTTTGAATGGGTTCCGTCTAATTTTAGGACGCTTTACCCCAATTTCGGATGGCGCTGTAGCGTGACGTCGACGTAACGTAGTCTCTGATCATAACGTGACGTCGTTTTTCAGGTGTTCCGCTACATTAATCATAATTTTGTGCTGTAAGGTTGTGGTGAACGTTTTTACGTTTGAGTAGAAGAATTTTCGAGGTGAAGCAACTCTTCGAGAAATTGCTGTAGATGATGGGTAGAAACCAACCTTTCAGTGTTTTGAAAAACTCAACAGAACTTGTTGTTGAATTATATTCTGTACACAGTAGAAGCGTTACAGCCATGTTTATTACCTTCGTGCTATTGATTCTGAGTTTTCTTGATGTCTTGTTCTTCTTTATACCATACCCAATTGATCCAGTCTTTAATAGGTAATCTACCTAGACGATCAGTAATTAATCTAGTTGCAATAGAATTGAATGGAACATGGGTTTTATGGATTTTTATCCCACTTGGAGCGGTGAAATGGAAAAGCAACATAAAAAAGTCTAATATAACTCATTTCCGAGTACCATTTATTGGTCATCTTTTTCATCTTTCATGTAGTTCTAACGTTGAAGTAACCTTGACCTCCGGCTATATTTAAAATAGAGAACGGGGAATAGGGAATGGGGAATCTTTTAAGTGGGAATGGGAGAGGGAATGGGAGAATGGGAATGGGAGGGGAATAGGGAATGGGAGAATCTTTAAAGTGGGAATAGTATTATT